ATTTTTCAAGATCCTGAGTATGGTGTCCTTGTAGCTATTCAGTGATTGTTTCTAGTTGTGTATCCAGTGAACTGCATTGCCCTATGAAGAAATCTGCTGTTTTAGTGCAGTGTTTGAGATCTGGTTTTATATATCTTTCTGGATGGGGAGGGGGAAGGGCTGGGGGAAATGGCTATATTTAATATTTTTTTTTAAGAGAGAGATTTTTGCTGTAGGGCATGTGCACTTGCCAGAGAAACAGAGAGACAGGCAGCAAGAAATCACCCCACAGGGGGAATGGCTACACTGCAATCCCTTCCCCTCCACTCTCCTCTCAGGATTTTTAGCACACTTGCACATGCTCCTGGCATGAATTTCAAGCTGCCAGGTCTGAGACTTGAACTGTGGTCAGCCATGTGGGAGTCCAGTGCTTTAACCACTATGCCATCTGCTGCTCTATATTTTTAATGTTTTAATTAGATATTGATGTGATCATTAGAGTTACTGAGAAAAGAGAGCCCTGTCAATGCTATCTGGAATGAATGTTCAAAGTTGAGAATGCTGGAATATGATTTGGTTTTAACTTTTTCTCTAAATAAGGAAAAATAAGAAGCACAAAACCACCTTGTGTATATTTTGTACCTAATACTCCACTAAACACTTCATGTGTTATCTCATTGGCTCCTTATATAGGAACATCATATTATAATCTCCATGTTATAGATGAATGCATAGATGCAAACTCAGGGAAGAAATGAAAAGGAAGCTCTGGGAGATTAAATAACTTGCTTGAACTTGTGTACCTAGTAAATGAAGAAACTAAGACTCAAACTTGAGCAGTCTCAGACCAGAGTTCATGATCTTACCATTTTACTAAATGACTTTTCTTTGCCTAAGACGGAATCTCTGACCCACTGATGTCCCAAAGGCATTGGAAAGTGAAGTTGGGGACCTGGATGTCCTAATTACTGGTTTGATATTTGAGGAGCTAAATGCCAGAGATAAATTTGTAAAGAAGAGGAAAAAAAGAAAAGAGAATGGTGTAGGAGGGAGAGAATCAAGAGAAAAAAGAACCAAAACATTTAATGCACATAAAAATGGAAAATTATATGTTGATGATAATATACATGGTAATATCTTTGACTGGACTAATATACAGTATATTCATGCTGGGAAAATTCATTTTGTATGCTGTAAAGATATACAGTGATTCAATGTAAAAACCAATCAAACAAACAAACAAACAAAAAACAAACAAACAAAAAATAAGAAAATAAAAGAAGAACCAGAAAAGGAGGGGGATTCATTGGGCCATCAGGTGATGTGGCGGATAAAGCACTGGATCCAACATGGCCAACTGCATTGTCCAAGTCCCAGACCCACTGACTTGAAAAACACTTAGGCACATGTGTGTGCATGACCAAAATTCAGAGAGGAGAATGGAGAAGGGATTGTGTTATGGACATGCCTCTGGGGGCTGATTTCTCACATATCCCCTCTCTTTCTGGTGAATGCAAGTGCCCTATAGCATTTTTTTTTTAAAAGAGATAATGAAGGTAAAAGTGAAGCATATAAAGTCCAGTATAGTAGCAGAATTAGTAAACCAAATAGACTCTTGTTCCTTTCTATAGGTAGAAAACATGAGTATGTAACTTAGAAGATGGCTGACTTTGTTGATTGCATCTATAAGGTCTTGCATTAGTAGCATTTGAGATGTACTCTTGTCTACCCTAATTTATTTAGGGACTAAGTATTTGCTAGATGATCATGGTGTTTGTGGGAGAGCTGCACTCTTTCTTCTTTTAAAGGAGGTAGGAGAACTTTGCCAGCAATAATGGTCCTGGTGCCTTGTAGAAAATCATCCAGTGGCACACCATAATGGGAATTTTCTTGGCCTGCTTTGTGGAATTTGTCTGACCTGCATGCCTATCTTCAGCCAACTCAGAGAATTCCCTTGGTTTTTATTGCCTTTCCCTTCTAGAGGGTTGGTCCAGTGACTTCTGTTGCAGGGGGTGCTTTCACTAGGATCTTCAGGTTTCTTTCTCAAGAAAGGTCATGGAGAAAGTCACATGGCTCTGGACTGCTTATTTTTCAGTTTTCTGCAGTTTCATTGCAGTACTTTACCATCAACGCTAGAACTGCATGCTATCTGAGTTTAATTGCCTTTAAGTATAACTGCTGTAAGCTTTGGTAATTATAGTTAACATTCTCTGCATTAACACTGAAGTGCCTTAGGGTTTTCGGAGTGATACACAAATAAATACATTCAACTTTAAATAGCTCATGAGGATTATAGGACCCAAAAGGTGAAGGATAGAGGATGTTTCCTGCTCCCCAATTACTCAGAGCTTATCAAATAGGAATGCAGAGGCATCTATGACCCTCCAGGATTTTTTTTTTTACATTTTTGTTGACATATAAAAATTGTACATATTTATAGGATATGATATTATCTTTTTGTACAAGATGACAATGTGTAACTATTAAATCAGGGTAATTAACATAATCTCAAACATATTTCATTACTTCGTGTTGGGAACTTGCAAAATCGTCTGTTTTAGTTACCCTGAAATATATAGTAAATTGTTATTAACTGTACTCACCCTACTATATTTTGCAATACTGGAAGTTGTTCCTCTAACCTATCTGTGATTTTCTTGCCATTAATCAATATTCCTTTATCTTCCCCTGCCCCATCCTTCCCAGCTTCTAGTAATATGATCTTCAAGTTTTGGTTGCATTAGTCAGTGTTACATATACACATATACTCCAGCAAAGAAAGGTTTAAACTTATTGAGAGAAAGAGCATGATGATTTTTTGTTTTATTTTCAAGGAAAAAAGTCTAAAAGGTCTAATGGATGAAAACACCTAGGTTCAGAACTCCCATTAATTTGTTTACAAGGCTAGATTGAACCAAGCCTGGAGTAAAAGGAAACATCAAGAAAGTCTAGAATAAGTTTGGTTTTCTAGTCACCTAGGTAAAGCTTACAAAAGGTCTGTTAGGAAAATAAAAGATTAATTTCTTGCCAAGTAGAGAAAGTTCAGCAATTCAAATTTGAGGAGGAGCAGTTAAAAGACAAGGACAGATTCCCCACCAGAACACAGCAATACTGTCTGACTACAGATTTAGAGAACAGTGATTTGCTAGCAGGGCAGGTGATTTGTTACATCACAGTTGTCTACCGAACTATCTCAAGGGCTTGAGAGTATACTGAGAAGTCAGAGTTGAATTCTTGAATTTTTTTGAGCAAGTTATCGACAATATTTTTAGATTTTAGTCTTAACACTGAAGGCATCCCTAACTTCAGCTTCTGTGGAAATGAGAATGACATATGTGCCCCACTTGGAAGAGCTTCTGCTTCAGAAAGATTCCAAGAGTTGATTTATCAGCACTGAGAGGTGCCCCACAAATATCATGGGAAGCAGAATCTGCTCATTTATGAATAAGATGGGAAGGGCTCTGTGTTTCCCTATCCTTTTGGGCATTGAAAATATATACTTGGTGACTATAGAAAGTTTGTAGAAAAATGGAACAAAAGTATGAGTTGATTTTGGTGAAAAAAAAAAGAGAAATCTATGCATTTTTTTCATAGTATGCATTTTCCATATTTTTTTTAAAGACCCTACCTATGTCTTCTGTAAAAAGGTCTGAGACCTTCATTCCTGCATTCCATGGAACCAGGATTTGGCTTATAAATTTCAAGATCATAAAGAGCTCACCTTCTTATTCCCAACCTGCTTCTGGCTTTGATTTTGGATACACTCATTATTTGCAAAGAGCAAATAATGTATTTTTTTTTTTTTGAGAGGTTTTTGCTATAGGATGCGTGCGCTCGCCAGACAGAGAGAGACAGAGAGACAGAAAGCAAGAAATCACTCCCCAGGAGGGATGACCATGCCACAATCCCTTCTCCTCCATTCTCCTCTAGGGATCTTGGGCATGCATGCACACGCACCCGGCGTGAGTTTAAACCACCGGGTCCAGGACGTGAACTGCGGTCGACTACATGGGAGTCCAGCGACATAGCCATTACGCTAACTGCTGGTCCCGCAAATAATGTATTTTACTCATTTAGTCTTAAACTTATTGGTTGAATCTTTTGGGATCTATGAAGATCCCAGAATAAAAGTTGAGAAACTACAGTCCAGGATGATCAACTCAAACTCATGAGGTAGAAATTTCAAATAACTTTTTTTTTTTTTTTTTAATAAAAGACTAACAGAATGGTACTGGTCAATGAGGAGAATAAAGGCTTTGGAACCATTGCATGGGGGCTTTATTTTTGAGAACCAGAAACTTTCCTAGAGGATAGAAAGGGCTTATTTTAGATCATTACTAGGACTGCAGACTTCAAAAGGACACTTCTGGCTTCCTTGCACCTTCAACAGTTGACTACCCTTTTTCTCCCATTTGGAGAGGAGACCACTGTATCAAAAGGGGTGAACCTCCTTTTCATACCAAATTAAACCTTTCTTTCTGGTTCCCTGGTGAGATTGTTTGCTTTTAGACAGAATCTCGCTCACTGTGGTACCTAAGACTAGCCTTAAACCCATGGTCCTCCTGTTTCAACCTCCTTAGTACCTGGGATTACAGGGTATTTTTTAAAAATAGCCTTTCTGTGCTTTTATAAACCAAAATAAAATATACCTTCCCCTAGAATATTCCAGTTTAGAGGGGAAAAGAGCACACATGAGGACATCAATAAGTGTGAATCTTCAACCTTTGCCGTGTTAAGACAGACCCTACTGATTGAAATAGATTTGGGGTAGACTTAGAGATGAGGAAGGGGGAAGAGATTTAAAAAGGTCTGCTAATTCATATCCTTCTTCACCTTTTGTATATGAAAAATACAAGTCAGCCTGCTACTCACGTGAAGTGCCTTCTCCCTATCCAATTTTTGTTTGGAGTTGGACTCAAAGAGGAAGATAGCTAAACATAAGCCCACAATTGCAGACTGCAGAACTGACCCTGTTGCTCTCTTTCTTTCCATCTTGAAAATATCCCAACCAATATTTCCAGCTGAAAAAGAAGCAGGTATATGTAGACAAGGTGGAGAAGATGCAGCAGGCCCTCGTACAGCTCCAGGCAGCATGTGAGAAGCAGAAGCAGTTGGAGCACCGTCTCCGGACTCGACTGGAGAGGGAACTGGAATCCCTTAGAATCCAGCAGGTATGGAGAACTCAAAAGGAAGAAAGACAAAGAAGGAAGAAAGGAAGGAGGGAGGGAGGGAGGGTGGAAGGGAAGGAGGGAAGGGGGGAGAGAGAGAGGGAAAGGAAATGGGATTATTCTCACTTATTTTTCAGTTGCATTTGTCATGAACACAAAAAGAACTCATCTTTAAGCTTTTGGCTCCATGGTTCTCATTCCAGAGTGCCTCCTAATTGTAAATACAAAGCAAGCTTCCCTTGTATTCAATCTCAGAAGAATCTTTAATGCCTAAGATCTTGCACCTTTTATTTTCACATGGACCCCTTCATGTCTTGTAGGGTTGACCCTATGAGAAGTGAAGCTGCTATACCAATAGACATCCTGGAATTGGAAATGGCCTTTAGAAATCATCTGGCTCTACTGGCTTCTTGGTTTTTGATTAGAGAAAAATCAAGACCTAAAAAAATACTGCATGACTCACTAAAGACCACGCAATTAGTCAGGGGCAAGATAGAAACTAAATCCTAAATTTTATGTTCCCATTTCTATTGTGGACCATGCTGGTAGGCAAGGATGGCAGTCTTTACCCCATTGATCTGTTTTTTGAGCTGCACAACAATTTGATATGGCAGCCTTCTTTCCTGAACAAGGGAGTTGCACATTAAAAACCCAGCTAGGAAGTCCTCTGGTCTTATGAAACCTGCACTCCCCTTGCTTCTTTCTGAATCAGAATCCAAAGTAAAGTGGTTCAGGCAGTAGATTTTTCCAAAGGTAGGGGATCTTTTAGTGGGATCCCGGCACCATAACTCTTCCGTCACTAAACTGAAGGGTCTTGGCATCTCCTCCAACAGCGCCAGGGCAGCTCTCAGCCCACTAATGTTTCAGAATGCAATGCTGCTGCACTGATGGAGCTTCTTCGAGAGAAGGAAGAAAGGATCTTGGCCCTGGAAGCTGATATGACAAAGTGGGAGCAGAAGTATTTGGAGGAGAATGTGATGAGACACTTTGCCCTGGATGCAGCTGCCACCGTGGCTGCTCAGAGGTAAGCAGCAAGCTAGTGGGGGCAGTGCAAGGAAAGAACAGAAAGGTAACTGATGTGTAGATTTTCTAATCTCATATTTTCTGTAGTATTCTGTCCCCCCCAAAAAAGTTTCTGCTTAACGTGTGTGTGTGTGTGTGTGTGTGTGTGTGTGTGTATGTGTATGTTAAAGTTTATTAATTCTATAATGGTCAGAAAGAGAGAGAGAGAGAGGCAGACAGACAGGCACTCCCAACAGGGACCTCATGCCATGATCTACCCCTAGCCTGGATCACAGGCATGTACACACACACAGGGAGGCTTCAGGACACAAACCTGGGTCCCTGCCATATGGTACAGCACTGCAGAGTACTGTGTCACTGCTGTGCAACCATCTGGGCCCTTAAAAGCGTTTTCTTTTGGCATAATGGCTATATCGCTCTACTACCATGTAGTCAACCATGGTTCGAGTCTCAGACCCGGTGGCTTAAACTCACGCCAGACACGTGTGCGTGCGTGCCAGAGATCCTGATAGGAGAATGGATTGCGGCATGGCCATCCCCTCTGGGGGGTGATTTCTGTCTTTCTGTCTTCTTGGTGAGTGCACGTGCCCTATAGCAAAAACCTCTCAAAAAAAAAAAAAGTGTTTTCTTTTATCTGTATATACATGGACTAAATGGCTGCAGGGACTGAATGGCTACACACACAGAGTGTCAGATTTGAAAATTAATTGCTTTATGAACTTACTGGAATCATAATTCAGCTTTCCTTAGTAGCCAGAATAATTGCCGATGGGACTGGCTGAATGTTTATACACCTCCTTCCCCAGAGCCACAGATTTTGTTGGCCACGTGTGCAACTGGTTTAGTCCCAGCACTAGAATGAAAACCCCTCCGGAGAAATGCCACTCAGAAACTGAATGTCACTCAGGAGTGGCTGGGCAGAACCGGAATGTCCCTCGGGAGTGGCTGCTGCCATTTGATAGCTCTGGTGTATCTGAGGTATGGCAAAAGCCGTGCTAAACACGAATCCACCCCTGCCCTTTGAGAAGGTCTATATTTGAAGCCCACATTCTCTGTGTGCATGAGCTCATCACATGTAAGCAGTCACATTTCATCTGGTAGGGGAGAGAAAGTGCTGGGGGAACTCTAGTTTTCTGTTTATTTGTTCTCCTTTTCATATAATAAAAATTATTGGTCTTTGGAAGAAACCATTGTCTTTATCCTATTTGTCTGCCTTACATCAGTTGGGAGGGAGAGTAAAAGAGAAGGAAAGGAAGAAACAAACACACAAAAAAACTAAATTCAAAAACTAACACGATGACTAAGATTGTGGCAATAATAGAGCTTTGGTCTTGAGTTGGGTATCAAAGGTTAGCTACAGCATATGGCACACAAATAAGTCTCTATCCAGAAAGTTATTAAAAACAAGCTCAGCCATGATAGTGTGCTCTGCTAAGACACTGCTCCATAGGCTGAGACTACATGGGAGGGTCTGGTTCTAAGGAAAACCTGGGTCCTATTTCGGTTGAATCTAGAGTCCAAGCAAGGTGGCATGCACCTGTAATCCCAGTGACTCAGAGAAGCTGAGGCAGGAAGATTGTGAATTCATGACTGGCCTGGGCAATACTGTGAGATCCTGTCTAAAAAAAAAGAAAGAAAGAAAGAAAGAAATCCCCCCCCCTCCCACCCCGTGTTGTTTTTAACCCTGCATGCAGTAAAGTGGTAGAGTCTAGAAACAATTGGCAGACCTTGGCCTGAGATGTTCCTGTGGAAGTGGGTGGTGCATACATTTATTTATCTTTGAGCTCTTAAGGCAGATCAGAGGAGGGTGGTCTGTCAGGGTTTCAGAGTTTTACCTGTGCTTTACAAAGACACTCTCAATTCTTCGGGAAGCTATCTTATGTCTTTCTACCATGATCTGCCTGTCTCCTGATATCCCTTATTAAATAGATTGAAGCTTCCTGTGGCTTGATTTTGAGGTCTTCATGGGCTTAAGTTTACCCAGCTTTGTTTCCTGAGAAATGTGTGCTCAGTACATTGCCAGTGTGGTAGTAGGGGGCATGCAAACCCCAACTGTTTGAGAAGATAGTCATAAGGTTTGTAGGCAGATTAGAAGTAGAATCAAATGCGATTTTTACCTGCTAGTTCCTAAGGAAATATCTGTGCCCAGCTCATGTACAGAGATCCATGTAACATTATTCATCATCTTTGGTCAGAAACTTAGAAAGATAACAGCTCACCAGATGTGCAATGTAAGAAAATGTTAGAAAGCTAGGATTCTTGGGCTATCCCAGTAGCACAGTGGTTAAGTTCTCTGCTTTGGGACCTGGATCCCATGTGGTCATCCCAGCTCTTGTGGCTTAAGAAACACAGCAAGCATGTATGCATGTGTGCCCAAAATCCTGAAGGGATGAAGAAATGGAGGAAAAAGGATTGCAGCATAACCACGCCCCATTGGGGGTTGCTTTCTCTCTCTCTCTCTCGTAAGTAACATGAACTCTCTGGCACCACACATACATACATATGGCACCATACATATATACATATGTATGTATGTATATGTGTGTATATATGTATGTGCATGTATATACAATATATATTATGAATGTATAAAAGCTAGGGTTCTTGGTACTGACTTCTGAATAGACCTCAGGTCAAAATGTAAGAAAACTAGGGGGCTATAACTGATGACCTTGTATCAAGTAGTCACCCCCTTCGTTTTTCCCTCCCTTTGAGTATTGAAGGAATTTCCTGTCAGATGGATTTCCAGAATTTCTTGGTCTCCATGAGATAGATTTTATTTATTTATTTATTTTACATTCAACTACCATATATCATTACAGCATACCAAATAAATTTTCCCATCATGAATATACTGTATTCAAAGATATTGCCATACACATTATCAACAGGTAATTTTTCATTTTTGTGTTCCGTAAATGTTTTGCTTCTTTCTTCTTCTCCTGGATTCCCTCCCCCTCACCCTCTCCCATTTCTCATCCTTCCACATTGTCTACTATCACCATCGCTCTTCATGCTTTTATACCTTCCAATCTTTCAGTTTCTGCCATAGAGCGCAGACATTCAGTATATTCTGAGTGGGGACATACAATGCCGCTCTTTCATATCTGGCTTGCTTCACTTAGCAGTAAATCCTCCATATTTGTCAATGTTCTGTCAAATGCCATGGTCTCATTGTTGTTTTTTTTTTATGACTGAGTAGTATTCCATAGTGTATATGTGCCGTGATAGTGTGCTCTGCTAAGACACTGCTTCATATGCTGAGATGCCTTCAATCCATTCATCTGTCCATAGATATTTGGGTTGGTTCCATCTCTGAGCAATTGTGTATAATGCTGCAATAAACAGATGTGCAAATGTTTTTCCAACTGAGCATTATCCTATCCTTTGGGTAGATACCTAGGAGTGGAACTGCTGGATCATATGGTAGTTCTATTTATTGGTTCTAGGATCCTCCATATTGTTCTCCACAGTGACTGGACTAATTTACATTGCTATCAACAGTGTAAGAGTTCCCTTTTCTCCACAGCCTCACCAGCAGTTATCATTCTTTATTTTTTTAAATCTTAACCATTCTGACTGGGGTTAGGTAGTATCTCATGATTTTGATTTGCATCAGCCTTATGGTAAATTATGTTGAACATTCTTTTTGCATGTGCTTTTTGGCCATTCATATTTTAGATCAATGTCTTTTAAATCACTGAGTAGAAAGTTTCCATGTAATCACTAGTTTTGGTCAAATGTACATGCTTTTCATTTACTATGGTAAAATATAGCCAGTCCCCACCTGGTGGGAACACCTGGTAATTCCATAGGTGAACCTTCTGGATCCAGACTGTGTGTGTTTTTGCATGCTACCACAGGATTCACATTCTGCCACAGGAGAAATTGAGAGGATGGAGAGCCTGTGTTCAAATTCCTGTAAAATGAGAAATTTGGACTAGATGATTCCTCTAGTTCCTTCTATTTCTAAGGTTACACTACATTTCCAAAGGGCCTCTTATGCTTTGCCATAGAGATTGGTTTCCTTTTCCTCTTTTCTTTTTTCATGAGATTCCGAATTTGGAAAGTAATATTCAGAATTTTTTAAATTTTAGAACCTGTGGGTCCTTTGCCTCTTTCCATCATCTCTTCCCATTCCTTTTCTGTCTACTTCTTTCTCTTTTCCTCCTCCCAGCCCAAAATATAGGCATTGACCAAGCTTCTACCCTTTGTGTCTTTCCTTCATGGAAAGGCTTTTATATTCTTTTTTCTTTCACAGTAATTTTGCAGAGTCAGACTATTGCTACAGATGGAAAGTGCTCAAAATGTATTTGAGTCAGAAAGGAGGGAAAGAAAGAATAGAAGGAAGAAGGGAAAGACGGAAAGAGATGATTTGTAAATATTTAATCTAAGATTCTAAATCTAGCACTACATTTTAATGACCTGCTTAGATTCTGTGTATTTTGCTTGTATATCAAATTTAATATATTCTATACCTAATAGCCTAATTGACAGGTTTCACAGTTAAGTCATCTTATTACGGTGGTACTTGTAGACCACAGAACTTTTTTCAAATAAGGCTTTTAGTTACATATTTAAAAATTACCTGTTTTAAGTGCACAGTTTGATGAATATTGGTAATTGTATGCAATAGTGTGGCCCTACCCCAATCAAGATATAAGACATGTACTAAAATGACTGGTGTACCCCTTGAATTTGATCCTTTCCTCTTCTGCCTGAACCTGGACAACTACTGATCTGTTTTTGGTCATAAATTATAATTTCTAGACTATCATATGAAAGGAGTCATATTGTGTTTATTCTTTTGTTTGCCTTTTTGCAATTAGCCTAACTATTTTGAGATGCCACCAAGTCAATGCATGTTTTGATAATTTATTCCTTTTATTGCTGAGCATAGCATAGATGGAACACAGTTTATTTATGCATTCTCTTGATGATAGTAGTTGGATTTTTTGTAGTTTTTGACCACCATGAATAATAAAATACAGATTTCAATATAAAAATAGATAAGTATCTTTTTGTTAGGTGAGAAGATATATTAGGTAGCCCGTTTATAGCCCTTCCAGCACTTTGATTCTATGAAGCACCTCTTATCAGGGGGAAAGCTGTGGTGTATGCAGTGAGTTCAGATGAGATCTGGATGTGAAGCTAGGTTTAGCCTTAAAGGGTTCAGTAGAAAACAATTAATTAATTAATTAACTTATTAATTTATTAGATGGTACATATACTCACCAGAAAGAAATAGGAGAAGGAGAAAATAGTTCTCCAATGGGACATGGTCACACTATAATGCCTTCTCCTCCATTTCTCCCTCCTTTCAGGATTTTGCACACACACATATGCTTCTCAAACTTCTGGGTTAAGGACTTGAACTGTACAAGTCCCTTAACCACCTTAACCCCCAGACTACAGAGCTACCCCAGGTGTAAAGTTAATCCAAGTGTAAAGTTCTGGCATTGCCCTTCATCGTGAGGTGCCTCTAGGCATTAGTTACAACTCTGTGATATTGGTGAGGTGTATGCTTAGGTGCATTTCACTCAATGGGAAGTTAAGAGGGTTGAGAGAGAGAGAAGATAATTTGACAAATTCTTGGCTTATTTTAAATTGGTATATGATACTTAAAATTTATTTTATTCAAAAGAATAACAATGAATTTATTCATCAAACACATGTACTGTTTTCTGTACAAGGTGCTTTCCTGAGCATTTGACATTTATTACTAATTCTTATCTCAATACTTTGAGGTACTATTATTCATTCTACATAGGAGGAAACTGAGGTATGGAAGAGTTAAATGAATTGCCCAAGATCATACACAGCTACAAAATGGCTGAAGGACACAAATATAAATCTACATTTTTGTCACCTTAGCTGCTATACCCTGCTGCCTCCTAGATATGGTGTAGCTCATTAGTTGTTCAATAAGATATTATATGCAGCTGATTATTTGCCACCTGGAAATATTATAAATATACACAGTAATACGGCCTACATTAAGGTTCCACATTACTATGCCCCTAGAGACTCCTATCTAGATGCTTAACATAGATGAGAGGAAATTACTACCAAGTAGGAGTGCTGTTTATCCCCAGAAGACTGAATTTAGCAATGCAGATTTTAGTTTTACCTCACAGGGAGTTTATTTCTGAAGAGCAGCAAAAAGATAACAAGATAACATAAATACCTGATCAGTCATGTAATTTGTTAGTTTGTATTTGTTGAATGGGATTGTTACTTTTCTCTGAAAATGTAATGTTTCATTTTTATTTGGGGCAAAGTAAATTTGGAAAAGAAGGAAGTAAAGAAAGAGAAAGCAAAAAGTAGAGATTGTTTGCACACATCACACATGCCTACTTCTTCATTGTGGGCACTTTTTTGGTTTCTGTCCTCTGCTTTCTCATTCTACATCTGTCTTAGTTATCTTGTTTTCTGCTATAGCTTCTCTGTAATAATAACAATGACGATAACTCTGTAATAGAAATTCTGACATCTTAGAGACACTTTCAACTGCAGTGTACCTAAAATCAAAACTCATCACAGTGCTTTCCAACAAACCTCTCCTCTCACAGCCATCTTTCCTATGCATTTGGATTGGAAATTCCAGAGTTCTCATTCGTTCTTCTCTCTCCCTAATGCCCATGTTTAACATAGTCTCCAAGTATTATCAATTCTACCTCCTACAGCCTATTCCCAGTACCCTTGCTACTTCACTGGTTCATGTGTTCATTATCTCTTGCTGGTATTATTACAATCACTTCACCCCTTGGTCTCCCTGCTTCCAGTGTATCTCTCTTCTAATCCTTTCATCACATTTCAGCAAAAGATAATGCTATCTTCCAAAAGCACAGCTCAGATAATTTCATTCCCCTTGAAAAGCTCTAATAATTTCAAGTACCTATTGGAATAAAGTCCAAACTCATTCTTGTAGTGGTTAATTATTTACTTTTTTTATCTTCCCTTGAAAGTTTCCTGCAGTTAGACTAGGCTTCTCCATGTCTCTCCCCTCTCTGGCCTCCCAGTAACTTCAAATGCAGTGCTCTACTTACGGTAGAGTTCACATATTAAATAAACAAAAGGAAGCTACCAATAGGAAAAGAGACTTGAAATTTCAAAGGCCATTAGATGTTTTAGTTAGGAAGCTGTTAGTGATGACATTCTGGAATGTAATTTGAATAATGTGATGGGAATAAAGGAGGGAGAGAGAAGATGACTGAGGAGAATAGTGGCAAAAGCTGTTTACTTAAGAATTTTAGATGAAGGAAGTCAGATTCAGGTATATGTGGTTTGAGGTTTTCAGGTTGTGTTTTTCAGATTGCAATCCAGCATTTCTCTCCCAATGTTCATATGGATAGCCTCGGAATACTGGAAAGTAGTGGATCAAATTGCTCCTTTAAACAATATGCTTGCTTGCTTTTGCCTAAGCCATTGGCCTAGTAGTCCTAGTCTTCTATAAGGAAGATTGATGCTGAAGGCTGTCCTGGCAGCTCTGTAGGAATTCACTAAGTGCCCCACATTTTCAGGCTCTGTTCCTGAGGAGTTCACAGTGTCCATATCAATTAGCTGGCAGGGCTCTGAGTCCCCAAAATGGTCTTTTATGCAATGAAAGTGGCTGTAGGCCAGCACTAGTTCCCCCAGTGACAAACCGTACGCTCAAGTCCCCAGTGTCTGTAGACATCATGCACTTTTTGAGAGGCCTGGCTCTAAAGCCTCAGTCATCACATTGGAATTCTGCAGTGCAGGAATTGCCTCCAGGATTATAACAAGAGCTGGAATTCTTTCAATTCATACTTTCACATGCTCTTCTTCTTCTACCTATGCACTTCTTTCTTAATACTAGATCGCTTTATTGAGTGCTTTTACTGTGCCTGACACTACATTTTTACATACATATCTTTTATTTTTATCCCCTTCGAAATGAAGGTACAATTCTTGTTCCTATTTTGCACATGAGAGACTAAGGCTTAGAGCATGGAATTGACTTTCAGAGGTCATAGAGCTTTCAGTGGAAAAGTAATTGAGGAAGCTGGGGCTTGATCTTGGAGTTGTCTATAGTCAGATCCTGTGATTGCTAGCACTAGGCAATGCTGCTTCCTCTTGGACATCTCATAGGGCTATAAGCAAGTGAACCGGAGTAGAAGTGTAGAATTCTGTGGTGTTAAAATGTCTTCAATTTAGCAAATGGTGAGTGCCATTATATTATTTTCTCTTCCTGCTCTTCATTTATTTTGCTATTCCAATAAATAAGTGATTTCAACCTTGTGTGTAAGGTACAAGTATTCAGGAGTAGAGTAGCTTAACAGAGGCTAACCAAAGTCTCCCAACCTTAACATTAGCTTTCTGCCTCTTCATTTCCTGGCTACTTCACCCTCATCTGTACTGATGACAGTCTCAAAGCTATGAGAACATAGCTTGCTGCCAGAAGAAAGTGTGTCTGGAATTCTCCCACAGGTCCCCAGTCTCTTAGGAAGTAGAATAAAGCAGTGCCAGTTTATTGTTTTCTCAGCCTATTGTCTGATTTCCTTTAAAACCAATAAAATTACATCAGTATTCTCCCTAACCCTCATCTCGCTCTCTCTCACATACACACACACACATACACACACACACATACACATACACACACAACATATTTTTACTTACTTAGTCTTTGAGTTCATGGCCTGAGATATTTTCATATAGAACAATGCAGTTGGGACTCTGGTGAGAGAATAGGCACTTGGGGTAGACTCATCAATTTGGTAGTCGAATGTCTCAAATACAGATTAGTTAGGAACCTAATGACACTGACTCAAAAGCCCTGGTTTCTCGCTCACTTGCCCTATTTGATCTTAGCTTGCTGATGTGTCTTTTGTTTGTTTCTAGTACACAGGAGTAGCTGCTGATATTCATCTGTAGCAATAAGCTGCTTAGTACACTTTCTGTCTTCCTTCAGAGTCCAGCCTTACTCTCCATAACTGCATTTAGAATAATGTGGTAATCCATACATATTCTTCCTTCTTGGTCATGATCTAAAACCTTGAAGGGACTATCTGCCATGTAATTTTGAGAGAATGCCTGTCCAGTTCTGAAGGCAAGCTTGTGCACACTTCAAAGAATCTGTCCCTGACTTTTGAAGCTACGTCCATTCTAATAACCTCTCCTACCCTGAAAGCTGAACTTTCTTATCTTAGAGGCTCTTACCAGTTCATCATCCAGAAACTGGCTGTTCCTAATGAGGTTGATGTCAACTTAGGGCTTTCCAGCAAAGTCTCCTTTGACTTAGCAGGGAGATAAAATATTTATTAATTTTGCTGCCCTCATATAATCATCACTGTTGTTTTTCTCCCTAGGGACACAACGATCATCAATCACTCTCCTAACACCAGCTATGATACAGCTCTAGAAGCCCGCATCCAGAAGGAAGAGGAAGAAATTTTGATGGCCAACAAGCGTTGCCTTGATATGGAGGGCAGGTAAGATGCCAGTCTGAACCCTGAAAAATCTGAGACCAGATAGGTCAGTACAGAATGGCAAGCATCTTTATTCACAACTGGGGAACCTGATCATGCAGCCTCTCTCCACCATCTTTCTCTCCACTGACCTGTTACCTAGAATTTGAGATGTGAAGGCCTTTACCTCGATCATTCCCTTAAATTGTGGAATTCCAAGTGGGGTCACTGTCCCCTTGACCTTCCTAATTGCTTTGACCTGCCCTTTTTGTTGGTATTTGCACTTTGGGGTAGGTGCAAAAAATACAGTAACAACTTCCTTGAAGAAAAGGTGGAAATACTTGATGTCATGACTAGGTTGCATGGCACTGTGACTCTTTGATAGAGCAGAGTACTCAGTAAAAGAACATCCACTCCAACCAGGAGTTAGGGGACCTGATGTTTCTTATAAATTCATGATCACACACTTATTACCTGAAGGATGTGACTCATTCCTTGAAGATCTCCTCTTCTCACTGAATATATTGTTAATGTTGACTCAGATTCTTCTCTACAGAGCCCACTACATTGGTATGTCCTTTCATGGACAGCCTTTGTTTTCACCAATACTTGACTTTGACCTCCTAAGTTTTAGATAACAAACTTCTGGTTGCTGTGGTGTATCCATTTGCATGAGCAAAAATACATTGAATAAAAAAAAAAAGTATAGCACATAGTCCTTTGTCTTCCAACTCAGAACTAACTAGATCACCCTTTAGTTGACAGGGTAATGGGAACCCAAGTCCATGCAGGTAGTGAGATAAGAATACGGAGGTAGCAACACAGTCTATATGTTCTTTTATTTATTTTATAATACTTTATTTTTATTTTATTATAAAGTATATTAAATATTTTCTTTATTACAATTTGGGTTAAAATAAATTCTAAGAAGGGGAACCAGCAGTTAGTGTAATGGCTATGTCGCTGGACTCCCACGTAGTCGACTGTGGTTCAAGTGCCGGACCCGGTGGCTTAAAACTCACGCCGGGCGCGTGTGCGTGTGTGCCCAAGATCCCGAGAGGAGAATGGAGGAGAAGGGATTGCAGCATGATCATCCCCTCTGGGGGGTGATTTCTCGCTTTCTGTCTCTCTGTCTCTCTCTGTCTGGCAAGCGCACGTGCCCTACAGCGAAAACCTCTCAAAAAAAAAATTCTAAGAAGAACACAGTGTACCTAACACACAGCATATATGTTCTTTGTCTTTGGCTCGTAGGATCAAGACCCTCCATGCCCAGATTATTGAGAAGGATGCCATGATCAAAGTGCTTCAGCAGCGTTCCCGGAAGGAGCCAAGTAAGACAGAGCAGCTGTCATCCATGAGACCAGCGAAGTCTCTGATGTCCATTTCCAATGCTGGATCAGGCTTGCTCTGCCATTCGTCCACCCTGACTGGCATCCCTATCATGGAAGAGAAGCGGGATGACAGGAGCTGGAAGGGGAGCCTAGGTAATGACAATAAATAAGGGAAATCATTGTCATACATGTTTAAAGAGAGCCCTGACTGAGATAAGTACCCTATAAAGCAAGGGAAAGGAGGTTTTTGTCTCTGGAGAGATTATTATAGATACTTATTCAGAAGCTCCTTCACACTGTGAAATCGTATGGTGAGAATGATGATGGAGGCAAAGGCCTGAGATGATGAGAATCCTGAGTTCTCTTTGGGTAGAAAGGAAGGGAACTTGAGTTTCCTTTACAAAACCTCCTATATTTGGCCTTTGCCTTATACGACCTATGTCTTTGTCCAAAGCCCATGTTGCTTTCATGTCATTCAAAATTTCAAAATTCCCATTGTATGTTTCTTCCTCCCCTGTTATAGGAGGACTCATAGTTCTAGTTAAGCTAAATAAAGCCGGGTGGCAGGTTTTTGTTACCAGAATGTTCTGATATGAGAACAGAATGTATTTTTATTTTTTTGGAGAGGCTTTCGCTGTAGGGTGCGTGCGCTCGCCAGAAAGACAGAGAGAGACAGAGAGACAGAAAGTGAGAAATCATCCCCCAGGGGGGATGGCCACACCGTAATCCCTTCTCCTCTATTCTCCTCTCGGGATCTTGGGCACGCACGCACACGCACCCGGCATGAGTTTAAGCCACCGGACCCAGGACGTGAACCGCGGTCGACTACGTGGGAGTCCAGCGACATAGCCATTATGCTAACTGCTTGTCCCTAGAATGTATTTTTTTAATTCCATTTCTTTCCATTCCTTCCCCTCTAATCAGAATCCCAGAATTACTTACTGTACTATCATGAGATACATTTTTAGAGCCTGAGGAAGCAAGCTCTCTGTATTTTTAATTTTTGCTCTTTTTGTTGTGTTGAATACCTTCTTTGGTCCTCTGATTCTTGTGTTATCTTTTGATAAGAATACGTATCTTAGAGACCAGGGTCATGGTCAGAACTTTACGTCACACAAGTATTACTATACTCATCTGTGTCCACAGACTTCATCCCTTATCATTTCCTGCTTTCTGGTAATGTGTGGTGTTGGTTGTAAGTGGAACCATGTAGAAGAATTCTGGCAACTCTGAGGGCCAGCCCCATTGTGCAGTGGTTAAGCCCTGTGCACAGGGAGCTAAATCTCACATGGTGAACTGCAGTTCCAATCCCAACCCCAGTGGCCTGAAAAACATGTTGGGCACATGTGGGTGTGTGCCCAAAATTCTGATAGAGGTATAGAGGTAAAAGCCTGTAGTACAATCATGCCCTGCTGATGACATTATTTTTCTCTTTCTCTTGCATTTTCTCCATGTGACTTTTGGAATGAATGAATGAGTGAATAAATAAATAAATACATACATACATACATACATACATACATACATACATACATACCTGACAACTCAGTGGAATATAATCACTGTTGGAAAAAATCAAATTAGATACCCAAGACATTTAAACAGATTTAACATAGAGAGTTGGATAATGAGGACTAGGAGGGATCTTCCAAGTCTGAAAGAAACTTAAAACCATGGTAGAAGGTGCCTGAAAAACTGATTCCTTGGAGACCAAAATAAATAATTTAGACCCATTTAAATTTCTCCTCAACCCCTATCCAGGAGAACAGGTAATCAGATGCCTGGATTTGAACAACCTATTGTTTTCTAACCTCTTTCTTTCTTTTATTTGTAGGGATTCTTCTGGGTGGAGATTATCGTGCTGAGTCTTTCCCTTCCACACCCTCACCTGTGCCCCCCTCCACTCCCTTGCTTTCGGCTCATTCCAAGACGGGCAGCCGAGACTGCAGCACCCAAACTGACCGTGGAACTGAACCGAACAAAACTGCGGCTGTTGTCCCCATCTCTGTTCCTGCTCCAGTTGCTGTTGCCGCTGCTGCTGCTGCCACCACCGCCACCCCCGCCACCAACACTGCTGCCGCTCACGACC